TAAGCAGCATGATGTGATTCCCAGAACAACTTTCACAGATTAAAAAGCCAGGCAGAAAGGATCCTGAGGCTGACGGGACACTGGAATAAGGTAGGGATCGTATATAACTTGGATGGTGGCTGGAAAGGAGCAGCAAACTACAACGTAGTTTTAAAGTGACACTAAACTCAGGAGTTAAACCTTAAAAATACATTCAAGTGCCTTAACTATTAGCAATACTGTATCTTATTTGTGTATCACTCGGCTGTAGATCCTCCAATCATCTCTGAATTGGTGCTGACACTGTCCTTCCTTCTGGAGGGGGGCTACTTTTGTTGCCCATGGTTCCTGTGTGTGCTGTAAAGTTGTCACCGCTCCAAGATCGCTCCCGTGATGGACTATAACCTTCGTTTTAGTTTAATAATTTCTATTGAGATTGTAGTTAGGGTTGCCACCTGTCCAGGATTCACCCGGACTGTCTGGGTTTTGAATGCTGTGTCCAGGTTTCATGGCAGCAGAAACCCGGACACAAGATGTCAGACAGACAGGGGCAACCAAAATTCAGATAGGGGCTACTGGCCCCGCACTGAAAATAGGCTCAGCTATGATATTTACATGCGTCGCTAGAGTGTTCGGGTTTCGCTTGAACAAAAGGTGGCAACCCTAATTGTAGTGCATCACGGGAGCGAGCTTGGAGCGGTGACTACTTTACAACACACACAGGGACCATGGGGAGCAAAAGTAGCCGCCCTCAGAAGGAAGGACAGTGTCAGCACCAACTGAGAGATGATTTGAGGATCTACAGCCTAGTGATGCACAAATAACATACAGTTGTTAATAGTTAGGGGACTTGAATGTATTTTTAGATTTGACTCTGGAGTTTAGTGTCACGTTAATTGGTGTATTCCAGGGGAGTCATGTTGTACTATCACCTGTCCAAGTATATCTGCTAAGCCTTGTCAGTTCCTCCACTGAGCAGTTATTCTGGAAAAAGAAAGCTAGGTTTAAAGGAATGCGTGGACTCCTACTACCTATCGCCTTCTGAAAATGTAATCTCTCTGGCTGCCATGCTGATCCAGAGGCATCAGAACTTAGATCTAAACGTTAAAGTGATGACACGTTAGGATTTAGCACTGAGTGTCAAGAAAAATTTATTTTTTGTTTTACATACTTTTCTTAATTCTCTTTTGCATATCAGTGCTGCTGAACTCCCCAAGACTCTTTCAACCACTTCCTGTCTACATGCACTGGCTGCATTCATTGCTCTGGACTGGCTTCCTGATCACAATAACAGTGAATTATGCCCATGCAGTGTGTGCTAAGTCTCAACCAGGGGAGCATGTGGCAGGGTGACAAGACAGGAGAACAATTGGAAGACAGTTCTCATTTCGGGAATTACTTGAACAGGTCCCTTCGTGGCGTAATCACAAGGGGTTATTTTAAGAAAATCTACATATTTAACGGTTAAAAACAACTTTTAGAATAACGTTAACAAGTTTAAATTGACAGTAAACTCAGGAGTTAAAGCTTTAAAATGCATTCAAGCACCTTCACTATTAACAACAATGGGGGGAATTTAATAAAGCAGTTGCGAGTGTTTTAACTTGCACAGAAAATATTTGCACCAGATTTATCAAGCTAGTGTAATGTTGTTGATTAATGTGGTTTAACAAGTGCAGATGAAACCGCGTGCAAAAAAGGTGCGAAAAACATCCAGAAGGAAGGACAGTGTCAGCACCAATTCAGAGATGATTTGAGGGTCTACAGCCGAGTGATATACAAATAAGATACATTTCTGTTAACAGTTTAGGTGCTTAAATGCATTTTTAAGATTTACTTTCTGAGTTTAGTGTCACTTGAAATGAGATGTTAGTAAACTGGTTTAGATCTACTTTAAAGTGAACTCGCGGCCATGCTATAGACATTAAAATGTTTACATATCTTTAACGAACAGTAAATTAGTTTTTTTTTCAATGTGCCCACTGATCTCTGTACCTGTAGGCACTGTGGGGCAATTGACCCTCAAAGTTCAAGTAAAACCAAAGCCCACATTGTGGTTAGTGGGCTCTCACTATAACATGCACATTATGGCACACTTACATGCAAAAGAACCCTCAACTTTGCTAAATATGAACTTGATTTTTCCATGACGAAAGGAGTGACTTGAAATCACACATTCTGCAAAACTTTTTTTATGTTTCTGGGTAGCCTAATACATTGGCCCAACCCGGCTCAAAGCACAAGTACCCACCTGCAAATCTTCTCCTTGACTTGGAACATGTGTGAATGCAGAACATGTGTAGTGAAAGCTTTGTTTTCTCTTCTCTGCAGAAAACGAAATAATAAGGGTCTGGTCTTGCAGATTTTTCGACCTCCACTACTACACCAATGTTCATTTCTGCACTCTCCACCACTACACTGATACATTACACACTACTCCATTCTACACCACTGCACCAAAGCACTGCTTCACTCTCCACTGCTGCACCAATGTTCATTTCTGCACTCTCCGCCATTACACTGATACATTACACACTACTCCATTCTACACCACTGCACCAAAGCACTGCTTCACTCTCCACTGCTGCACCAATGCTCACTTCTTCATCTCCACCACTACACTGATACACACTACTCCATTCCACACCACGGCACCAAAGCACTGCTTCCCTCTCCACTGCTGCACCAATGCTCACTTCTTCATCTCCACCACTACACTGATACACACTACCCCATTCTACACCACTGCACCAACTCGCCTCTACGCCACTGCACCGACGCACTTCTTCACTCTCTACTGCTGCACCAATGCTCACTTTTTAACTCTCCACCACTACACTAATACACACTACCCCATTCTACGCCACTGCACCGACGCGCCTCTACGCCACCGCACCGACGCACTTCTTCACTCTCTACTGCTGCACCAATGCTCACTTCTTCACTCTCTGCGACTACACGGACACACTCCCTTCACAGTACTGTGATGTATTGGATGCCACAAGTGTGCTAGCACATGGTTAGAGCATATTTTGTCTTATTGCATGAACAAGAACACAGGATGGTGTAGTCTTGGACATATAGTAGTGTGATGTACACAAGTGCATTACACCCCGAGTTTACCATAAATATAAACACATACTGTAGATTAATGTAAATGTGTGTTTCACTGCAGCAATGGCATCGGGTGGGAAGAAATGGTCTTCAGGGCTCTATTATGCTGGAGATGTATTGTGTGAATGAGAAGCTACTAACCTGAAACTGATCACAGGCTTTGTCAGTGTAACTTGTTACATGAGCCTCAGACTTTGTGTGAATATACAGGAAACACCCTAACATCAAACTGAGAATAAAAAGACATACATAGAAAACTATCAAATTACAATTGAGTTGTCACTTAAAGGGGAAGTTTTTTTTGTTTTTTTTTACTTCTTATACATGGGAAAGTGATCATTAAGCAATACTGTCATTGTGTATTAATGTATTAAAACCTTTTTCTATGTATAGTTCATAATAATATACTCTACATTGCCAAACGTTTTGGGACGCCTGCCTTTATACGCACATGAACTTTAATGGCATCCCAGTCTTAGTCTGTAGGATTCAGTATTGCATTGGCCCGCCCTTTGCCTCTATAACAGTTTCAACTCTTCTGGGAAGGCGTCCACAAGATTTAGGAGTGTGTCTATGGAAATGTTTGACCATTCTTCCAGGAGCGCATTTGTGAGGTCAGGTACTGATGTTGGACGAGAAGGCATGGCTCGCAGTCTCCACTCTAATTCATCCCAAAGGTGTTCTATCGGGTTGAGGTCAGGACTCTGTGCAGGCCAGTCATGTTCCTCCACCCCAAACTCGCTCATCCATGTCTGTATGGACCTTGCTTTGTCCCCTTGTGCGCAGTCATGTTGGAACAGGAAGGGGCCATCTCCAAACTGTTCCCACAAAGTTGGGAGCATGAAATTGTCCAAAATGTCTTGGTATGCTGATGCCTTAAGAGTTCCCTTCACTGGAGCTATGGGGCCAAGCCCAAACCCTGAAAAACAACCCCACATCATAATCCCTCCTCCACCAAACTTTACACTTGGCACAATGCAGTCAGGCAAGTACCGTTCTCCTGGCAACTGCCAAACCCAGACACGTCCATCGGATTGCCAGACAGAGAAGCGTGATTCGTCACTTCAGAGAACACGTCTCCACTTCTCTAGAGTCCAGTGGTGGCATGATTTACACCACGGCATCCGACGCTTTGCATTGCACTTGGTGATGTATGGCTTGGATGCAGCTGCTCGGCCATGGAAACCCATTCCATGAAGCTCTCTGCGCACTGTTGTTGTGCCAGTCTGAAGGCCACGCGAAGTTTGGAGGTCTGTAGGGACTCTGCAGACAGTTGGTGACTTCTGCGCACTGTGCACTTCTGCATGCGCTGACCCCGCTCTGTCATTTTACGTGGCCTACCACTTCCTGGCTGAGTTGCTGTTGTTCTCAGTTGCTTCCACTTTGTTATAATACCACTAACAGGTGACCGTGAAATATTTAGTAGCAAGGAAATGTCACGGATGGACTTATTGCACAAGTGACAACCTATTGCACAAGTGACAACCGAGATGGAGTCATCTCATGGCCCAACGAAGTACTGATGGGGTGGTTATAATAATCTGGCCACTCAGTGTATGTGCAATGGGGCAGCAATATTTGATCGTTACATGCTCAAGGTATGTTTTCTGCTTAGTAGTGTTGACAGAGGCTGTGCTTTACTGTTCCTCGGTCTCAATGAAAGTCTAGTGGACAGGTCTGTCAGCTAAAACAATGTACCCTCTACATAGTTTTCGCCTCCTGCTTGGTTGTGTTTGACAATTTTGTGACTTGATGATCTTATCTTACTACAGATCTACCAGACAGTATCTTTCTGACTGAAAGCAATAGACACTCTGCAGTCCCTAATGACGTGAAACATCCACAATGCTCATGGTAGCTAGAAACCGTGTGAATATTGCCTAGGCTCTGGGTGTTGTGGGAAAACTAAGAAGCAGCAATTTTCTATCCACAGTGAAAAAAGGTAATAATTTACTCTAAATAATTTATTTGGTTTTGCTAACACTGCTGATTAATGTTTTAAATGACAGGTTCACTTCATTAGTCGTTTTGTTTTTTAAGTGCTTTAGATATCTGCTGACATTGATCACTAGAGTCTTGATGATGAAATTGATCACCAGATCATTGATGATGGCATTGATCACCAGAGCATTGATGATGGCATTGATGACTATTGCCTTGATGATGGCATAGATCACCAGAGCATTGATGATGGCATTGATGACTATTGCCTTGATGATGGAATTGATCACTAGAGCCTTGCTGATGGCAATGACCACTAGAGCCTTGCTGATGGCAATGACCACTAGAGCCTTGCTGATGGCAATGACCACTAGAGTCTTGCTGATGGCAATGACCACTGGAGTCTTGCTGATGGCAATGACCACTAGAGTCTTGCTGATGGCAATGACCACTGGAGCCTTGCTGATGGCAATGACCACTTGACCACGCTTTCAATGGTATATTAAAGAGACAAAAGGGGAACAAATAAGATACATTTATTGTAATGTGTAACATACACTATTAGAACAACAAAAGAGGACCAGGAAAATTCATCCCCTAAAATTGGTTTGATATTTTATCCCAAATATTATGTGTTCTGATACTCAACATTATTGATAGTTATTTTATATACAATTGATTTTAAGCAATGTATCTTTCAGTTTACAAAAGGTAAGAATGGAAAGTTTATTATAAACAACTCACTTCTGTATTAGTATGCAGAATATATACACAAATTAAGGAGCGCCTAAAAGCTTAGTGGCTTTAAACTGACATAACTGGTAGAACAAGAAGAGGCGCGGGTCTGGTGTCCTGAACGAATGTTGTCTTCTACACCCATTTGTCAGACAGTGATTCATTCTTCAGCCTCTGTCATGCGAGGTATAGTTCATATATAATCATAACTTCATTAGCTGGAGGCCGTGCCCTGATGAAAGCCAGGCTTACTTTGAGGAAGACATTCCTACTGTGGGCTAATGACTTGTGTTGGCACATATGACTGCTCAGCCAAGACCAGCCCATTCGTGAAACTGGTTTGTGGTAATGCTGGCAACCGTTACAGTCATACTACCCTGACGTGGCCTATACTACTACAGACATACCTCCCAACTGTCCAGATTTTCACAAGATTGTCCCAATTTCTCAGTTCAATAATTAATGGAGTTTTTTAAGTGAATGTATAGCCATTGTTTTTGATAGAGTAAGGAAGGGTTAAAGTGGAACTCCAGCCATGTACCCCCACCCAAATCCATCTACTCCCTGAAGACACATCCCCCCCTATTTGTTTTTTGAACTCAAATAAAATACTTACCCTTGTAGTGGGACTACCCCCACGCTGCAAGCGTTAAAGGCTCGTTTTGGTCTAGGGGCTGGAATAAAGCAGATTAAGGTACCTGTTCAGGGCTTCCTCTCTACTGCAAGATCGGTCCTTGCAGCCTTTTCTCCACTGTGCTCCGGCGGTCCCAGAACCGCACATGTCATTATGTCTTATGCAGGTCATTGATTAGATGTGAGGACACTGAAGGACATTCAATAGCAGGAGCAGAGTGGGAGAGAGATGAGTGCTGACCACCGTGGGAGCTGGAATTAGTTGAGTAAAACAGCTTTATTTGAGCCCCCTAGACAGAATGAGCACTTAACCCTTGCAGTGAGGGGGTAGCCCCACTGCAAAGGTCATTTCTTTTATTTACCTGGAGTTCTTCTTTACACCCTGTACATACCTTTTTTTTTATTAACGTCTCCTATCTGGGTCAGTGGCATCACCGGATCTTCATCTTCCTCCAGGGCAGCAGTAGGTGAACATTCTTCCAGGATTGGGCTGGGATGTAGAGGAATGCTCTGCAGTCTGATACATCATACCATGGCTGGGATGAGGAGGAATGCTCTGCAGTCAGATAACATGGCATCCTGGCTGGGATGAGGAGGAACTATCTGCAGTCAGATAACATTGTATCATGGCTGGGATGAGGAGGAATGCTTTGCAGTCAGATAACATTGTACTGTGGCTGGGATGAGGGGGAAGCTCTGCAGTCAGAAAACATGGTACCAAGTCTGGGATGAGGAGGAATGTTCTGCAGATCTCAGAATATAATACAATGTAGCACTGCAGACTCCGTTCTCTGCTCTCCCCCCATATTTTACCTTCTTCGGAGGGGGCTGCATGGAGCTGCTGTTGGGGTGCAGCCTCCCTCCTCCTCCCCTGGCAGGTCCCAGGGCTTTGTGTCAGTGCAGGAGACTCAGGAGGGGAAGATATGCAGGCCGGAGCTGTAAGCAGGTGCCATGAGGTCCCCAGAAGGCTGCCACGAGGTCCCCAGCAAGCACGGGACCTTACTGCAGTCAAATCTATAAAAAAATGTAAAGGGTCGGTAATAGCTTTTATTGTTGGAGCACTTTCACAGGTATGGGTAAGGGCAAGTATCAGCCTTAGTATCGGGCATTTTCATGGGTACGAGTACTGGTATCCGAATCATGGCATCCCAAGCTAGGACCCCTATCAGACACCATGGGACCTGAGGAGTCTGTGCTGGATCAGAGACCAGCACCAGCGCTGGAGGGACTCTAGAAAACTACTAGATGATTGGATCAAGAGGCATCATTTAAGGTAAGTCCTTAAAGCAGCATGGAGGGGGAGGAGATTTTAATGTCACTTTAAGAGTGGCCATTATGTTTGAGCACTGAATAAAGGGTAAGGTATTTGAGCCCTCAAGACGCGTTGGCTTTTCTACATTATCGTTTCTGAACCAATACCAATATTCAAAAGTTGTGGACTCTATACTTAGACTTTTTACTTCTGAATCTTCAAATCTGGGCATCTTGTTTGATGGACGCTATGTTTTTGTCAAGAGCGGCCTTACCAAAGCCAATGGACCTTCAATCTTCTGATTCCAGCGCCTCATTTCTACTTGTTCCATGATTCCCCAAAGAAACAGTGCTAACAATACTTAGGCCAAAAGAAACAGTCCTGACAATACATGGGAGACACGAGAGACCTAGGAAATTGTAAGATGGTTTTAACTCTCTCCAGCATTTACCAAAAAATGAAATATCAGTTTTGGTTGGACTTACCCTTTAATACCAAGGAGATGGCCTGGTAGCCTGATTCACTTTGTGCATCTGATCTGCAAGGAATTAAGCCATACCTATCTATAACCTATTACTGGCATTGCTAACAGCTAATAATGTAAATGTGTTTGGCAATGTCTATTGTTTTCTCTGATGATGAAAATATTCTATTTGTCTTGTGCTGTTAGAAGACAGGTTCACTTGAGGATCTAAAGGCTCTGGAGATGGTATTACTGAGCCAGAAGGCTCTTTCATGTCTGAGATTATCAGAACAATCTAATTTAATAAGCTCTGTTTCTTGCTATGACACCAGCATCATCTGCATTCAGAAATAATTCTGACATTTATAGTTTGTAGTTGTGTTTTACAGGAGATCTTCAGTGAAATAAAAAGGGCTTTTGACATGATTTTTTTTAATGAAGATCCTAAATGAGCATTTGATTTATGTTCTTTGCACTTGTCAATGTGAAACATTATCAGGGTTATTCACAAAAGGGTGAAGGGTGAAGGCCGGAGAAGTGAACAATCTAGGACAACATAGCTGAACTGGAAAGTGAGCGGAATTGGAGAATTTTTCCAAATCAGCTATGTTGGCCTAAATTTGTTCACTTCTCCTGCCTTCTCCAAACTCTTCACCCTTTTGTGAATAACCCTATATATATTAATATTCCATATTTGTCAACAGTCAGCAGAAAGTGCCAAGCTTCATTAGATAGACATCTACCTCCATTGTAGATGTAAGAATTGAAGCTCCACACCAATTAAAATAGTCCAGATACAACCCATTAGGATCAGGGGAGATTCAAGTAGAGTAGCCAGTGCATCTCAAACAAATGTTGAGATGGGAGTAAGGGCCAGTTGACACCATATGCAGTTGTGATGCAGTTTGTGAATGCAGTTTCTGCAATGGTGTGAATAAAGCACAAGAAAGCCCATAGGAAAGCATTGTGATGTATTTTGACTGCACCAGTCAAATAAACGGACTGCATCACAACTGCATATGATGTGAGCTGGCCCTAATTCAGGTTTGTCAACAGCTGGTTTGGCAGACTTAGCTCCATGACACAATAGTGATCCAGCAACAAGATCGGTAGGAGAGCAAAGAAAACCGCCACTGCCCTCTTGCTGGTAAGGGAGATACTACAGTGACAAGCAGTAATATTGTAGAAGAAGGTTGGTGTACTATTAAAGTGATAGGGGGTCAAAAAATAACAAACAAACAAATAACTGTCCATTGGTCTGTTTGCTAAGACATCACTCTGTAGCATAGCTCTCCCCGATTTAACAACTTGGGCTGATTGAATAGCAGGTCCCCCTGTTTGTCGCCATCGTTCCTCCTGCTGACCCAGTAGTCACTGCAGAACACAATAATGACCTTGGAATCATCAGATGGAACCACAGTGGCCAGTGATGGACACACTTTTTCACAATCCCAGAAGTGTGGAATTGGATTAGTGCTGGGAGCTCTGCTGCGGAGCAACGTTTTAGCAAATGGGCCAATGGACAAGTATATGCAAGGGCCTGGGTCGATGGGCAATGGCCTTGTCAGTTTGACATCAGTTTGAGAAGCTTCTGAGATCATTCAGAATTCACAGACAGGTGCATCTGACCTGCAGTTGACCTCCTTCTGACTTGCATTTGACCTGCTTCAATTGGGCTTTGCACACTCAGAGACTTGTAGGGGAGTACAAAACCCCAATAGAAGAGAACAAATGCCCATCAACACAGGTCTTAATGCTGCTTCCTTCTCAGATTAGTGCCTTGGTACCTTTTTTTTTTTTTTACCCCCTGGGTTACTTGAAGCCCATTCATAAAAATACAATGGCTTCACTAGAGAATCTTTAGGTTTTGTGATTAGGTTGCAAATATAGATTTACCAGCAGGAGGTGCTGTACAAGACCTCCGTACCTTCAGAACATTGTGCTTAGGGGTGCCCCTTTGTTCTTACCCCCATGGAAGAGTACTGATTAGTCAGGAGAACCTGTATAGTTTACATGTGCCAGTGATAAATGTAATGGAAAGGAGAGCCTGCTCAAGGGTTCTGCTCATGGATAATTCGGACAAATCTGTTCTACTTACTAGGGGAAGTTTAAGTTTAAAAATATCAGCCCGGGTTTTCCCTTTAAACCTGAAAAGAAATGTCACCTCTGCTCTGGCTCAGCATCAGAGTGCACAGCGTGACATAATCGGGTTATGTATTCATATCACTAGCGCAAAATATGATGTGGACTCGGGATAACATTTTCCGATCAATGGAGAGCTAAACTCCACAAATAGATAATCTGTCAGTTTGGGACATTCTGTTTCTATTTTATTTACGGCTGTGTGAGCACAAGCCTGTAGCGGATTAGCTATAGTGTATTCATCAGCCGTCTCTGAATTGCAGGGACAAACTCTTTTTCTAAAGCTTTGTCCCTTGAATTTTGAGTCCCTAAGAATGCCCAAGGTCCTTATTTTTTGTAGAAAAGGTAGGACCCCTCTGGACCAGTTCATAAATTGGGTTATTAGTCAGTAAGGTACTTGGGACCACTTCAGGGTGATGGTGGTTATAGTAATCTCTAAATCTGGCCATATAGTGCTTGAATTGCAGAGGAATTCTGCTGACTTGGCAATGTGTGGTCCCATTGGCACCCCTTCATCCGACAAAAGTTGATTTTTGAACCAACTTTTGCCAAAGGAGCCTGGCCGAAAATTCTTGGCCAAACAATGCTGCAACATTAGGGCACCATCCGCAAGAACCAGAAAGAGAGAGCTGGCCCCATGATGACATGAATACGCCATGCTGTGTCATTATGGGCCTGGCTGCAAGAACCAAAAAGAAACAGCCTTTCCCTTGATAATGCGATGTGGGGCATGCACGTGTCCTGTTAATTGCACGTAATGCTTCTGGGATGCATGACATAAGTATCCCAGGAGGCTGCTGGCAGATGGGGGCTACAGCACTCTTCCTTAGGTGAAAAATGTGGAAGGACCAGGTATGGGAATCTTAACAAAACTACTTACGAAAAAACAAAAAACAAACAAAAAAATGCAATCCTATTACAGAAGGGGACAACAAGTAATATTTAGGAATGTGGAGACTAAAGGTAAAGGTCCAGATGGCTATATAGAACATTTGTCTTTTGTTTGGATTCTTTGTTATTATTATATTCTTTTGTATTTGATTTGTATTCCTTTTCTTTATTTCTTTATTAACTTGTTTTACTATAAAAATGATCATATATTATCCCTAGGGACATTCTTTTTTTACTAAGAGAACATCCTATTTGCTTTGGAAATCTTCTTCTAATACCTTTAAGACCCTTATAGTTTCTTGGTAAATCCTAATGGCATTCCCCAGCAATAGAAGAGGTGTCATACTCACTTCTCCAGTGGCCTGTGTCTCCTACCTTTCATTTGTATGACTCTTAAGAATTCAACACTTTCGGGAGGGTGGGATGCCTGTATTCCCCGCCACATGCTGTGACTCCATCCTCTTACCCATACATCACTGCTAAGCCCTGTAGTGCAATAGGGAGTCAGCGGAAGAAACCACATAGCATGGTAGGGAACACAAGCATCCAACTCTCCTGATGTGTCCAATGCTGAAGAGTCTTACAGAGCAAATGCAACAAAGGAAGGAGAAAGGGCTGCCAGAGGGGGTGAATATGCCACTTCTTCTTTTGCAGGAGACTTCAGAAAAGAACCAAAACCTGAATGTATTTTTCTTGCTTTGTTAGGAAACCACCAGCAGCCATCATGTCATCTGATGCCAGTCACATGCTTGAGGCGGCCTTAGAGCAAATGGATGACATCATAGCAGGTAGGATTTATAAGGAATTTTATTTTTAAAATTGAAAATTTGCTTCTAACATTCTGAGACTTTTCTACACATTGTTTGTTCCTTGCTGCTTCTTCTCCATTGTTAGTTGGCTGCTTCACTAAAATCAGTGCACTACCTATGTGGCTGACATGTTATCTCAAGAGTTGTTAGGAGAGAAAGAGAAATTGCACTGGGTAACCGAGAGTGCCCTCTATGGGCTAATCTACAAATCTTTATATTTATGTTATAGCAAGTTTGTAAAAATGTTCACATCAGAGTCCTCCCTTCACATCAGAGTTCCACCTTCACATCAGAGGTAGCCCCTTTGATATCAGAAGCCCACCTTCTCATCAGAGTCCCCCCTTCACATCAGAGTTCCCCCTTCACACCAAAGTCCGCCCTTCACATCAGAGTTCCCTCTTCACATCAAAAGGTGCCCCTTTTGATATCAGAAGCCTAACTTCCCATCAGAATCCCCCCTTCACATCAGAGTTCCCCCTTTAAATCAGAGTTCCCCTTTCACATCAGAGTTCCCTCTTCACATCAGTGGTGCCCCTTTTGATATCAGAAGCCCACCTTCCCATTAGAGTCCCCCTTCACATCAGAGTCCCCCCTTCACTTAAGAGGTGCCTCTTTTGATATCAGAAGCCCACCCTCCCATTAGAGCTTCCCCTTCATACCAGAGTCCCCCCTTCACATCAGGAGCCCCCTTCACAACCTTTGTTTGCTCATAGTCAGGAAATGTTACCCAAACCTGTTGATAATGTCTAGATCAGATACATGATATATTTTGACACCCTGTGACCTTTCTTACGGGGAAAGTCAGTTGTCCAAAATGTATTTTCCTGGACCACTGCTATTGTTTCCCTGAGATAAGTCTGGTTGTCTGTTCATTGTATGAACATGAGCATTATGCCAAAACGTTTGTACATGTTTATGTAAAGATTTTTCACATGTCTATTGGCATCTTTAGCTCTGCTCTACAACATTAGCTTAAAGTTAAACCCCCAGTGTACTTTAGTCCGCTTCGGCTTTAGACCTCATTTACTGTGGAATTTTACAGGCTTGCCATGTCTGCCTCGGGTTAATTAATCATGACTGGAAGCTCGTTAAGTGGCACTATGTTTACCACTCATTAACAAAATGATTCCCAAATCAGTAGAGTCCGGTCTGTTCTGGGAAAAAGAAAAAAAGTATTAAAAATTAACCTGTACTTTAGCCACATAACCCTCACTTGCCCTGCTGGAACTAGTTTCCTAAATCAATATTGACACTGGTAGAACAAACAAGTGTTATATCATAACTCAGTACAGTTTACTTCTATCTCTGCCTTGTCTCCAGTGTCATCTCACACGGAAATAAGGAGATGTGAAAGAGAACTGGAAATCCCCTGGTTATATGTCATTCATCCATGTATTAAAGAGGAACTGAAGTCTATTAGGCTAGCCACCCAAGAAGAAAGACAGGGACAGAGACATTAGGACTCAGACAAGGACAGACAGACATGGGTTGGGAAAAACAGAGATAGAAACAGACAGAAACAGGACCAGACCTATATACTGATAAAGAAAGAGACAGACTGACACTAGGGGACACCAAGTTGGTAAGAACAGAGAAAGACAGACAGCTATAAATTGGGCTAATTGTATCTATGTACAACTTTGTTTACTTAGCCATCTACGCATTACATGTAGCAATCTTACCAATGTTCTTCAAAAATGATCATGCCAAAAACTGGAAATGACTTGTTGTAATTGCTTCCTTTATTTGCTTTAATATGGTAGAGGAAAAAAATCTATACAACAGAGTCTTCTGACGGGCCTCACAAATGTTTGTACATACTTTCTCACATTTTCCTTTACAGTAGTTCCTTCAAGTCAACATGTCTAATCAAAATAATTTGAACATTGGTAAGAAACTGAGTGGATGTGACAGGGCTAACAGCGCCCGCAGCCCTGTTCATGCTGCTTGGATAATTCTCCTTTCCCCTGCTTTACTAATAATAAAGGTGTCGGCTTGTCAAGAAATTATCCCTTTACTCGTTAATTGGCACACAGAAAACCTCAATTTCTGCTTTTGTTTCAACTATGTTATTTCAGTAAGCGGACTGCTGGTGTACCGCCGATAAATACAAAACAAATCCATTGGTCACAAGTTAGAGTGCAAAAAGTTCCATACTTTTGCTGATTGAACAGTAAAAAAAAAAATTCGGATTAAAACGCTTCTTATCCAACTTCATGTTTACGTGGCTTCTTCAGAGTCCTTAGCTTAATCAGTTTATTTCCTATACTGCAGTCCCCATTGATAGATTTGTATATTGCGATCATATCCCCTCTTAAGTGCCTCCTTTCCAAGGAGAACAAGTTCAATTGTAGATGTTCTTCAAAACTTTGGTCCTCCATACCCTTATTCATTGTGTTGCCCTTCTCTGAGCTCTCTTTTATTCAAGGACTTTTTTGAGGATTGGTGACTAAAATCGAACTGCATACTCAAGATGAAGCCAAACCAGTGTTTTGTAAAATGGTAGAATTACAGTTTTATTTCTTGAGAAAATACCATTTTTAATACATGATAGTATCTTGCTGGCTTTGCTAACTGGACCCTGCCATTGCATCCATGATAAGAATATTTAAAGCATACCTGGCATGTAACACATTGGAAAGGTGTAGACAGAAGAAAGCCCCAAGCCACTGGTAAAGTCCTGATGGAATTTATTGTTAATAGTATCTTTTAATCTAATAATAATATAGTATCTTTTAAATCAATGGGTTTCAAGAGTTTTAGAGCAGTCTTTCTCAACAGTGTGCCTTCTGGCTTCTTCAGGCGTGCCTCAAGACTTTCACACAGCATGGTGCATGTGGTTCCCCCTTAAAATCCATACCAGACCCCTATCTCGTATAAGGGTCTGGTGTGGGTTTTGAAAGGACCACATGTCATTTTTTTCACATTTTAGACTGGGGTGCCTGGACATTTTGCATATCTTTAAAGGCTGTTGTGACTGTAAAAAGGTTGAGAAACACAGTTCTAGAGGACCCCCTTCGTCTGGGCTTTAAATAGCCATAAAGGATTAAATCAGGACTAAAGGAGAGTAAAATTATTATAGATTCGATTGGCACAGAGGTCTGTTTGTTAGAGAAATAATGACATATTAGAAACCGGGAGGACGCAGCTCACTGGGCACTTCCACTACCTAGAATATCAGTTTGGGTGGACTGGCTCAAAAGTGATATTCAGTTATAGAAGAACAAAGGTGAACCCACTCCTCCACCTTCGTTCTCCATAATGTAAAATCCACCAGGGAGTAGTAGGATCCCCTTATAATACCTGATATACAAACTGAAGTGAGGTGATCTGACCAACAGGGTCCAATAAAAATGAAAAACTGCTGATTTCATTAGATAAGGTGATTTACCTATGCAGCAATTATTGAAAAAAACTGAAGTGTTTATACAGACTGGCTCTTTCATGCAGTAATCATTCATTAGAAGATTTGTTGTATTTAGTTGTAGGCTTGCTTGGTGATATTGCATGTCGTAGCACTGCATCATTAATATTCAGTACATATTTCCAAACACATTTTTTTTGTTATGCAGCCAGTGCTCTGGGGACACCAAGTGGTGAAATTTAAAAATGTTATTTAGGGCAGCTTTTCTCAACCAGGGTCCATGGAACTCTAGGTTTCCTGCAAAGGTCATTAGGGGTTCCTTGAGCTCTGGCTGATTGACCTCCCTATTGATGGTGCCTGTGTTGTTTCGGTGTCAATACCAATTAGCATGAACCCAGTGATATTTTTTGCTATCTGTAAGGGTGTTATTTCGCCCAACACTGTAAGGGTGGCATTCTCCCCACTGACCACTAATGTAGGGGGCCTTTTTTCCGATGACCATTAATGAATTGGCTTTAGCAAGGGTTCTCCGAGAGCAGACCAGAAAATCATTTAAAGGGTTCCACTGGGGTAAATTGGTTGAGAAAGGCTGATGTAGAGCCTTTTTTTTAGTAGATAAGTAATTAGACTTAAATGATGTAGTGAAGTGCATGGATCATTAAAATAGTAACACTTTTAAGTGCAGTCATCAAAGATAATAAACACCCATGGAGACCCAGTTACAAAGATGTTCCCTGAGCCTGAGCATGTTGTCTGTTTGTCCTTAGTGACTGGGTCAACCATGTTTATTTTATTAGCATGTATTAGCTTATTTATGGTGGGTGCTTATCACATTATATAAATCCAGGTCAATTATGTAGATACAAGTTAATTATACACCAACAAGGTCATATATTTGAAGGATACATATATAGGATATAACTCTTGAATTGATGTATGTTGTATTTTGTTGCATGCAGTGCTTTAAGTAGAATTATCATTCAAATGACTCCCCCTGCAAACCCCCAAATCTTATATTAAACCTGACCATACAATAATTGAATTTCAAAATTCGAGCTGTGCGTGGCCCTGGTAGGACCACCTGTCTCAACAATGGTGGGTTATTGAGTCGACTTTGTGAAAAGAGCTGGGTGGAAATTTGTCAGCTGAATAGTGACTGCTGACCATCAGCCGTAATCACTGTTCAATAGCCTGTCAGGGAAGATTTGTCCATCCACACTGTTTAGCATGGATGCAGGAATCTACTCCATGGCCAGCTAAGGTCTCAATCTAATTCTTATACATACTTATCCTTACTCTTTGGAGATCTTTGCTGTGTGACCTCTGGGAGCTGAACAGCTGCCCATGTAGAAGTCTCCTGACCAGGCTTTTCTTTTTTTATGCATGTGCACAAGATTTAAAGGGACAGCCACAATTGGAACCTATTATAGAAGGCCTGAATAGAGATCAATATGCACAGGCAGAAGAAGGACCTGGCTGGACGATTTTTTTTTGTGGTGGCTGTCCCGTTCCCAGTGGGCCATACAGTGAAGATCTTGGAGGAGCAATGATAGGTGAGTATAAGACTTGATGGGTTGCTGGGTGGAGGTCAATTAAAAGATACATTTACTAAAAGTACCGTTTTCGTGGACATGCATTTAAAATCTAACACTTGGCTGCCTAACAGAGATTTATTGCCACAGTTTAATGTGACAAAGCAGTCAGTCAAGAAATATACTTACTATTTAATTCCTAAAAAGCAGCAGAATACTTTCTCACACGTGACAGTGCCTAGGCACCCTTCATTATTTTAGCCAATTAGGACATCATAATAGCATTTGCTGCTCACTCCTGCCTCAGATTCCTGGATTACATTGTTGGTGTTATGCGTGGACAGGGTCTAGGAAAAGCTATCTAGTGATATGGTCCCTTCCTTGCAAACACAAATCACTGTGGCATGAGCGAAGAAGTGTTTCCAGGAATACAAGCAACTGCCGAAAACTTACTGTCAGTACTAAATCGCTCACAAATTACTGGTCTCACACTGTTGGAAAGATAAAGTTGTCTGAGCCTTGCTCCGATTTAAAATAAAACTGACCCCAAACTACCGTACTATGGTTTCACGTAGAAACACACAAAGAAAAAACAACATGTTAATATCCATTTTTTTTTATTGCCAACAGGGACCAAGGCTGTCACTGAATTTGCCAATGGAGTCTTTGAAGGGGGATCACCAATGTCTCTGGAATATTTTGGAACTATAACAATCTTGCATCTAGTAGAGGAGTTAAAAATATCCCTTGAAATGGTAGAAAGTCTGCAGGAACGGGAAGCTCTGAGAAACCAAATACCCAACTCAACAGCATGTTACGTCATGGAGTGGCTGGAGAGTACACTGGTCAGTAGATTACCTAGCCATTTTTACTGTATGTGCTGTGTGATCTATTACATACTTCATACAAACTATGATTCAGGCAACGTTTTCTTAGAGAATCCATAACCCTAAAACACAGGGAAAACTGTTATTTTAACCAAAGGAGCTGTGGGGGAGAATTATCATCTTGACCACTTAGCAAGGCAGTACAGAAGGAACAGAAACTGATTTTCTATAAGCAGTGTTCTTTACCAGCTCACCACTGTTATGGAGAGAAGTCATTTCTTGAGCAAACATCCTGGTGATGCTATAAAAACCAATATTACTGGACCATGCAGAGAACCTTTGACAGGGGAGAATGACCCAATAAAACTTCTTTCTTATTCCCCCTCTGCTGCTCAGAAATAGCACTATGCAAACACAAAACATGGAACTGACAAGTGATCATTGGATTAAAAGAATCACTTAGCACTTTAATAAATAAAAGGATTTGCTGAGATGAGAGTTAAAGAGACCCTGTCACCACCTGGTACTTCTTAAACTAAAGGCAGGCAGGGAATATATATTAGGAGTACTTACAGAAACTCTGTCTGCTGCAGCGATTGCAGCAGCATGTAGAAAACACTACAAGTTGCTGCAGTCAACTGCTCATCATTGGTCAGGACCAGCTTCCTGATAGTGAAAACAGTGGACCATGTCTGAGAAGTATGTGTCAGCACAGCCACATGTAGTCTTTATCAGGAACGCATGTGACAGGGTGACAATGCAAGAGCATGATTTGGAGACAGTTGTCACCCTTTAAAAGGAAATACCTGAACAAGGACCTTTATGGAATTTTATGGATCATCGGGTATTTTTTTTTTTAAATCTACATATTTAAAAAGATCGAAAAAACTTTTCAAAGTACAATAAAATGTTTAAGTACATTTGAGATTTTAGTTATTGCATTTAAATATACTTGAAACCAATGTAAATTTACTTAGGTACATTGCTTGCAAAATACTTACACCAGGCACAGTTTAAGGACAGGCCTCCTGTATCTGCTTCAGGCCCAAAACTTTGTGGAGCATCGCTTTACTTTTTTTTAGCAGTGCCACAGAAAATAAAAAAGCTGTGCTATCCACACTGCATATTCATTACTGAAATGTGTTTGGTCTTGAGGTCTCTTTTAGGCATAGTTTGCAAGATATGATTGAACCAAGTTTACTTGGCCTCTTGGACTATGCGGATGTTGCAGTTCTTCTCACAAAGGGAAATTATTATTTTGGATCACGTTCATAAGAAAATTAAAATATGAACAGACATTTCATAAGTTACACTTGACCTTTATAGCTCAATACTGTTCGATGGATGTCACGGGATACCCTTCTGCAGAGACAAAGAGCATTTAATTAAATAGCAGCTGCGTTCAGTCACAATGACACTTGGATAGACCATGCTTGAAACACTGAGAGGTATCTTAGTTTTTAATAACTTGAGTTCCTGATCAAGGATCTCCGATAGAAATTGCGTATTGCTGAAAGACAAAGCAAGATGGACCTTGTCAGTAGTAGATTTAGAATGTTGCCAGCTGTCTCTGCAGATAAATATATACTGGTTAGGTTTACATCAAGGCCTTAGCAGGTATTTCAAAATTAGTACATAAAAAACTGAGGATTAGCTGCTTTTTGGCCCATTTTTGCCAATAATTGGCATGTAGTATTTTAGTACTAAATTTCTTATTTTTACAGCACAGATATGCTTAAGTGCATACAATTTTGGGGCAAGTAATACTGACATTAGATTAACGGGTATTGTATGGTTGAGGTTTAGGGTTAGTGGTTAAGTTGACAGGTAACGGTTATGTTAAGAGATAGCTGTTAGGTTTGAAGTTAGGGCTAGAGCATGATGTGAGGATTAGGGCCAAGTTTTGGGGTTAGTGGTGTAGGTTAGGATTTGGAGTTGTGGGTTAAAAGTTAGAGGTTAGTGGTTGATTGAGGGTTAATGCAGAGCTCATGGTTAAGGATTAGATTGAGGAGTAGGATCAGGGATCGGGTTGGGTTGGATAAGAGTTAAGGTTTAAGTTGAGGTTTGTGGTAAGGGATTAGGTTAGGTGTTAAGAGTTAATGGTAGGGTTAGGATTTACTTGTGGGTTAAGAGTGAAGGGTAAGAGGTAGGTTAAAGGTTAAAAGTCAACTCGAGGCTTATGGTTAGAGGTATATTGATGTAGGGTCAGGGGTTGGAATTGGTTAGTTTAAGAGATTAAACTGAAGTTTATAGTAAGAATTTAGGTGCAGGCTTAACAGTTAGGTTACAAGTTAAGACTGAGGGCTAGGTTGATGGTAAGGAGGTAATTATAAATAGGGGTTGTGTTAAGAGTTACGGTCAGAGATTGAGTTGGGTTAAGGATTAAATAGAGGTCTATGGTAAGGGATTAGGGCTGTGGGCTAGGTGTTAAATTAAGGTTTATGGTTAGGGGTTATGATAAAGGATACGGATTAGAATCCAATTTAAATTTAGGGGTTAGGTTGAGGGTTACTGGTCATGTTGAGGTTTGGGGTTTAAATTTGCAATAGAAATGCTCTCACACTGAAAGATCAAATTATCTCTATGTGTCAAGGTCATCTGTTTTATTAGTGGTCAAAAAAGTTCACCTATGTACATTTTGTACAAAATTATGCCATCTTCCAAAGCAGTTGTGCCCATTTTAGAAAGCTAGAAAATGGGCAACACCAAAACTGAGACATTTTAATACCAATACCTTAGTCTGCGCAATGTTATACCTCATCTACCTGCTGCCTTTCAGGGGTTTAAAGATCAGGACCAACCTGTCAATATATTAAGAGAAAAAGTAGTGTGTGTAACATATAATGCTATATAACATGACTGCAGCGGAAATTCCTTAGTGTTCCCAGTGCTGTGCTCCTGACTAAGAGGATGGACCTGGAAAGAACAAACCAATTGTCACTGCAGATCACTGAATGTGTGGACCAGTGTGTGCATGCTATGGACTAATATGCAGCAGCCAGCAGACTTTTTCAACCACTAGTGCTGGCCTGCTAAGCTTACACAACTAGCAGCTCATATCATACAAGGCAAAAGCAAAGGTGTGGTGGAAATCCTCTAATGGAGCCTATAAATACTGACAGGGCTTCTATCCTTTCCCTACTCTATTCAAAACTAAAAAAATAACAATTTTCTTGCTAACATTTTTTTCTTTTACTGATTGATCATTTGCAAAATATTTTTTTTTTTTTATCGTTATATGTTAAAGGTACACAACAGTTTAAATAATTTTGCCATGCATTCTACCTCAAACATTGTATGTGTTGTTATAAAAATGACAAACTACAGAATAAAATTTTATCTCTTTACCCACAATAATACTAGTTCCTTTAAAACTATCAACTATCAGGCTAGGTTCATACCTGCACTACACCGTAAAAGAACGGAGCTGTTATAGCCGCGATCGGAAGCACGGGCGGAATCACGGCCGGAAACCGCGCAGTCCACCCAGCGCGATTAGGGTGCCATTAGAAAATAATGGCACCCACAGCGCGATCAGTTCACACTTTGTCGGCTCCTAACCGTGTGCCAATCCGTGCGGAATCGTGCACGATTGCCGCATGGTGAGGTGTCGCCTAGGTGTAAACCTAGCCTCAGTAGTTGTTGCTTGGAACAGGCTTCCAGCAAAGTTAATGAGTCAGTCAACAGTCAATGAATTCAAACATGCTTGGGACAGGCATTCTCTATTCCCAGACAGAAAGGTTTAAAAAAATCTAAAAAACAAACACAAAAACAACCAAAAAAATTAAAATGCAAAGGGAAGACTCGATGGACCACTTGGGCTTTTTCTGCCCTCACTCTTTTATGTTTCTATTACTGCTCAGGGTGTGTAAAAAAAAAAGAAAACAGTTTTGCTTTTGTTATTTTCAATATAAAGAACATAAAGTATATTTTGTAAGACAAAAGTGCCTAAACAAATCCTTGTCCCCCCAAAAATATTTACATTGCATCACCTTGGTTGAATAACTAATGACAAAGTTATTGCCGAATCATTAGGCCCGTTGCTGAAATGTATAAATTCTCCTGGTCCATAGGGGGTATACAGGTGCGGAAGCTGAAGTTGTTAAAGTCATCTGTTTTAGTTCTCTTGGTCTAAATTGGCCACTTTTGAATGTCATATCAGATTCATTGCAGTGTCTCTTATGGCTCACAAAGTGTTTAGCCGGCAGGGAGAAGTTACACAGTCTATGAGAGTTTTTCCAGTTCCTCCTTTGTGTTGTTTGTGGTCAATGTTCAACAGAACATGTAACAAGTAAAGAGGCAGGTGATAGGCTGAAGCTGAGCACATGGACTGTAAGAATGCCACTGTTCCTGGATTCTAAGTAAAAGGACGCTGACTCAGTGCTAGATAGCAGTAAGACATTCTTCTTTACACTTGCCTGGAGGTGACATGTATAGCCGGCAGGAAGTTACTCCAGATAATCTCACCGTTATAACACTTTAAAAGGTAACCATTTTAGTTTTATTTACTATTGGTGACAATGTAATGTGTCAGTGGTTTGCTTTGATCTCTTACTGTCGGTGCCTATTGGTTATTTGGTAGACTGTTTGAAATCATATTGTGCCCCCAAGTAAAAGGGCAATTGGCCCTTGTTGGTTTTCGGAGTGGAGGTTTTGACAAAGATTGCTGCCAAGTGACGGACCAGATGTACCAATGAAAGAGCTTGCTAGAAATAAGTGTACCCCAATGTATACATTTACTAATGTTCTTACTGTGTTAGATTCAGAAGAGTGCCTATGACAGCATGTTACTTCAGTAGCCTTCCACACACAGCTGATCCAAT